TATGGGGACACAGTTCAGCCCCTAACAATATATTTTGTGCTCTTTATTGACAATTTAGTTAAAGCCATATCCTACATGGTTGTTTTTCCTTTTAACTAAATTATATTATAAATGCTCCCCCGCCAATGTGTCCTGTCAAATTATTTCATTGTACTGGCGGACACACACATTCATGTGTATATTCATAAAACTCTAGTATTTTACAGTTGATCTGAAACACCAAAATAATTATTTATCCTGAAAAACTATGAGACTTCAACGTTAGTCTTCATGACACAATGGTTCCAAAAATTATGTTAGCTGTGTTGCAAATTTTATTGCACAATAAATATTTTTATATATTTACAATATACACTTAAACTATAAATGAAGCTGAAATAATAACTAATACTGAATATCTAAAATACATATCCAACTTGTAATACATTTTTAATTGTCATTTTTGGAAGCCTATAGCATAAAGAGGTTAATGGAAGCCTTTGAAAATGCTTTCTGCTTGTTATAGCAGATGAATTAGAAATTTTCAAACACTGTGCACTTCCAGGTGGCAACCACCTGGAAATTAAGCACTCTAAGTGCTCACAGTAGGTGAACAAAAGACAAACATTGGTATTTAGTAAGGCATTTATCATAAAATGTTGGAAAGTCATGAGGAATTGAAAACCAGGTGATGTATTTGACTAGACAAATATTTGGGTCAGACCAAGGAATTACTAGCTAAAAGCAAACAAACAGTCTTAAAAGCAGAGAGGTCTATAAAATGGAGCAAAAAAACCCCTCAAATATAAAGGATCAAATAATGCTCCTGAAAGCTGAAACTGTAGAAATGGAAAAAGTTAAAAAAAAAAAAAGCGGGCAATCATTAAACCCACTCTGAAAATACACTGAATATTGCCCTCTCTCTGGAAGCTACTTCCTTTCTCAGCAGTTGCAGGAATAGTGTCTAACAAAGAGTAGTAGTCCTTAAACAGTGGTCTAAGACTTTCTGGAAAATCTAAAAATTTACCCTTAAATACAGACTGGAATACACAGAAACTGAGGTGAGGCTCCCAGCGAGCACCAGGAAGAAGCAGCAAAGGGAAAGGACAGTCACTGTAAACCTGACACAGGAGAGAGAGACCTTCCCAGCCCAGCAACCGGTCCCCACAGAAACCACCATGCTTTCTCAGCTGGGGTGCTAGGGGCTGCAAAGAGTCACGGGAATGAGAAAAACGAAATCAGAAGACAGTGCGCCAAGACTCTTTCGAGTAAATCAAATTTGGAGAGGAGACAGCAAGGAGGTCATAATCAAGAGCCACACTTACAGCAAAGGGTGATCTATACACTTCAACGCAGCTGCAGATTGAACAGTAAGCTGTTGGATATACAAGTGTGGAGCTTAGAAGGAAGTCTAGAAAAAAATTTATAAATCATTAATTTAGTGATTCTATTTAAGCCCTTGGGGAATAAAGAGATCACCTAAGGAGAAGCTACAGAAAGAAAAAGAGAGAAGGACTCAGTATCAGACCAGTAATAGCAGCACTACTGAAAAAGCATACAGAAGAAGTCAAATATGTGAGAGGAAAAGGGAGAGGTCGGCCGGACAGAAGTCGGGTGAGCGTAAGGCAGCTGGGGCCAAGGCCCAGAAACCACACTGTGGACCAGCAGCAGACAGACCACACAGCCGGCACACGGCACGAGCTTGTTAGACGAGTGAGCAGGCGGGTCACAAAGCACGTCAGCATGGAGTCTCGAGAATTCAGGCTTAACTATCTGGCAAAGAGTGGAAACATCTGCAACAGCTATAGCAGTAGTAGTCGCAGTAGTAGCAGTCGTAATAGCAGTGTTAGTCGCTCAGTCGTGTCCGGCTCTGCGACCCCATGGACTGTAGCCCACCAGGGTCCTTTATCCATGGACTTCTCCAGTCAGTATTGGAGTGGGTTGCCATTCCCTTCTCCAGAGGATCTTCCTACCCAGGGATCGAACCCAGGTCTCCTGCATTGCAGGCAGATTCTTTACCATCTGAGCCACCAGGGAAAGACATGGGTTCAACAAGGTGAAATTGTAAATTTACCTTGGCATTATTTTAATACATTCCCAAATCCCCAAAGTTTGGTCATATTTTCTAAATCATTAGTAAAATACCATTCCAATTTAATGATGAAATTACTGTGAAATAATCAGTAACAATCATGGATTAGAGTTCATTAATTTCAACTGTTTAGACCAGGGGAAAATGTATCCAACCCTTAGGAATCCATAAAAGAAAAAAACATTACAAAGGTATACAGAAATACAATAATGACCCAAAATATTTTCAATGAAATACAACGAAAAGCTGTAAGCCCATTACCTTTTAGCAGAGGAGCAGCCCTAATGAAATAGATTCTTAAAAACTGTCATACGGGTAAGCTCATTAGTTGTAATGAAAGTTCTCCCTGCTGATCCAGGAGTACCTAATGGCCAGGATTTGTTGTGTATCAAAAACAAAGATACTTTTTAATTCAGGTGATAGCTCATTGAGGAGACTTCAAATCTGCAAACTTTCAAATGATGATATAAAATACAAGAGCACTGAAACTCTCCAAAGCAAACATAGACTTATTTCATCTAAAACATTATATTTGTTCCTCTAAAATCTCATCCATTAATAAGGTAATACAATCATAAAAAGAAATTAGGCTCATCAATCACCTACACTATAAAAAAGTTCTCTCAGTGATGGCTTTTCTATTTCAAATATGAAGTTAGCTACTCCCTGTGAAACTCGTTCAGGGTATCTGCTGACCCATACACATATGTATGCCTCTACAGTAACAGATGGAAACTAAAACCTCCAAGGCCCCAGAATGCCCCCTTAGAAGCACCGAAAAAGAAAGAAGAATCTCATTACCAAGTTGCTACTCTGCAAGCACGCTTATGAAAGTAAAACATTTCTCAAAAGCAAAATATAATATTTATATTTGTATTGGATTTTTAGCACAATCAAATGAGGCAAAATAGATAAATGACGTTTTGAAAACTTCATTCATAGCAAAAACTGTTAGAAAATACGTTCTACAATAAAAAATACATCTGAGAACTCCCATGGTGGCACAGTGGATAGGAATCAGCCTGTCAGTGCAGGGGACACGGGTTCGATTCTGTTCTGGGAAAGGTCCACGTGCCTCAGGGGCACTGACGCCTGCACCTCGAGCCTGTGTTCCACAACAAGAGAAGGCACCTCAGGGAGAGGCCCGCACACTGCGGCCAGGAGCGGTCCCAGCCTTCCACAACTAGAGCAAGCCCAGGCGCAGTGAAGGAGACCCAGCACAACCCCAATAGAGACGTCAGTAAAAACTTTATTTTTTAAAAAGGACATCTGAAAGAGAAGCATATTCCAGCTTACTGTTCAGTTTTAGAACTAGCATGAAAGATGGTGAAGTGATCAGAAATCCAAACTGCTATTATCAGAAAAGGCCCACACTGAGTTAATTCTTTTTAAAGACATAATGCTGGTATAAGCTGTTATAATAACTACTCAACCATCTTTTCCCCAGAAAAAGAAATTCCTCCATATTTCAAGGCACTTGGTAACACTTTTTCATATGTTACTTATCAAGCTTAACGTCCATCAAGAAAACCCACTTTCAATTCTTTTTCATCCAATACACTCAAATTTTATTCCAAAATTTCAGAAAATTCGTTTTAAGGACGTTATCATCCTTGAATTAATGAACTTAATCACTGAAAAGCTATTCTGAGTATCAGTGAGTCTTTTTTAATGCTTTTCTTCCCTGTGCTCTTTGCTCAATCTCACATTGCTTATCATGAGAAAATTATTTGGATTATTTTCCCTTCTTAAATTACCTTAAAACATTTACACCTATACATATGGACATTATCTTCTTAGCCAAGAACATTTTATGGAAGCACAAGTGCAAACTAAGGAGTAATCCAATGTCATTAGAACATTAGACTACAAGAGAGAAAAGTTTCAAAGTTTACTTTATGTCTTAAAAAAACAGATTGTTTCCAACATTTTTTTTGCACCACTGTAGGAGATACACATTTGAAAGAAACATGTATCTCAGGAAAAAATGTGAAAGAATTTCTCATGCAGTCACATGCCTCTCTGCAAAAGAAGTGCTACCAACCCTACTTTACAGAAGAAATAGTTTCATAGGAGTATAAAATGATAAAAGTGATTTTCAAAAGAAATATTCACTATAATACAGGAAAAAGTATCCATCTTTAAGTTGATAAATAACCAGTGGCCTACACCTAAAGAATACAGATATTCTCCCGGTCCAAATGAGGTATCTTCCAAAATGTATATCCATACATTTGTACATATTCATACACATGTGTACTCATAAATTCATTTTTGAGTCAAGTAAAGTTTTTTCCCACAGAACTGATTTGATATACAACCAAGATTCTTCAGATGATCAAAACATCGCCTGAGTCATATTCAAGGCAAATATATGTAATATCAATAGGGCCTATCCTTTCTCTGACCCTTTCTATAACCAGATATAAACCCACAGTGGGGATACGGAGGTTAGAAACTGGGGCTTTAGGGATGAGTGACTGGAATCTCTGGCAGTTTGGTACCTGCTGGGGCAAAGGAAGCACACTCCACCTGCAAGGCAGGTGGATGGAGACTTAAATTCAGGCCAAGGCGACACTGACTACACTCATCCCAGGTATCTGGGAATGACACCCGTCCAGAGAGCACAGTGCAGGCCACAGTGCGGGGCTCGGCAGAGGCGGACTGCAGGTGTTCACGGGGCTGAGACTGCAGAGCTCCGAGCTTCCGAACAGAGGGTCTCATTACCCAATCAAACAAACTAAACCCGTGGCTGCAGAAATGGCAATTCATAAAGTAAATGTCCTATACCTCTCTCTCTAATTTTAAAATGAGGCATTCAGTATGAAAACACTGTGACAAAGAGGCAAGTATGTTCAAATAAAAAGCATTATTTTCTATACCAACTTAAGACCCAGAATATGAAAATGTTTTCTACAAAAGCACAAACCTTTACTAGCTTTGTCCAAATGTCCCAAATCATCCACAAAATTCAGGATATCAGGATGCTTTTCTTCACATACTTCCACAAGAAAATGAAGAAGAGTTGTTTTCTGATCTGCTGATTTTGTGTCCTTTAGCTAAACAGAATGAGAGGGAGAAAAAAATACAGAGAATCAAAAATACTTTGATAATCTTTTTATTTAAATAATGTTAATCCTGTTTTTTACAGATAAGAAATAAATCAGTTCTAAAACTAGTTAATGCTGTTTTTGAAAAGCCAATGTTTAAACACTTGAAAAGCTACTTATCATATATTGTTCTTTGGTCTAAATCATTAATATTTCCCATAAAGAAGTAATAAGCTTAATTCAATCTGGTATGCAATATTTCACGGGGGGAAAATATATGGTAAAATGCCCAGGAAAGCAGGACAACCGAAGAATCTATGTAATATCAGCACTTAAAACAGCCTCACACACTTGTTCATTTTTTCATTTGGCACATATTTATAGAATGCCTGCTAGATACTACAGGAGTTGGAGAGGCAACAACAAATAAGTCGTTCCTCAGGAAGCCATTTAGTGTAAAAAAAAAGGAAAATATATACACTTCTTCCTGTGTGATGAAGAGTATGATAAAGATAACCACACAGTATGCCTAGGAGGACAGGGTACCTGAACTGGACGGCAGCAGACAGGAAGTGGCACGGGGCTGCAGAAGCACGGGAAACCCTCAAAGGCGCAGCATCAGAGCATCTGAGTGAGGCCAGCAATGAGGAGGGAGTGGCACTGGGGAGGAGGCTGAGTGACTCAGAGCAAAGTGTGTGCTGGGGAGAGGGGAGCAGAGGGTAGACAGAAATCTGAGAAGGAAAAAGCCAGAAAGGTAAAAGAAAGGCAGACCATTCTGTGGATAAAGAATTCTGATCCCTAAGAACGGGGAGGTTTTTAACTAGATGAGACATAATCAGGCATACATTTTAGAAAGATCCTCCTAGCACAATGTGGATGAAAGATTAGAGCAAGGGTAAGCACAGAGCAGAAGAATGATTTTTAAAGCTGCAGTAATAATCCAGGCAGTGAAACAAAACAGACTGCGCGGCAGTTATGCCTTAGGCATGAGATAAGGGAACAAGGTGGGCGCAGACCTGTACTTGACACCATTCACCTCCGCTGAACCAGGAGGCCGAGGACAAAGGCCTGGGCGGGGCAGAGGGAAAGGATTGCTTCAGTTTGGGACAAGGGAGCTTGAAGCTTCTGAGTAACATCTAAGTGTAGACATTGGGAAAGGATGGAGATGTATGTAAGTGTAGCACAATCTTTCATTATATTTCATTTCTTAACCTATTTTTCATTATAGCTGACTAAGTTTTTCAGGCATTTTTTCCTAATCATTTGTGAACATGAAATTTAAAAATGATACATATACTATATATCTGTCTCTGTACTGCATGTACAACTATGCTTTACACAAAAAGATTATAAGGAAAGACAATTTTGCTCCCTAAGAACCAACTTTTTTTCCCTTGAGGGTGACAAACTGTAGAGAATACTTAGTTAGAAGTTAGAGGACTGAACTATTCTAGGAGTACTAGTTTGTGAGCTCTTGGTCTCCAAAGCTAAAGAAACACAAATAAGTATATAAAATAAAAGAAAGGAGAACAGAGACTTGAAGAGAAGACCAGGATGGACTGACCCTAAACCAAAGGGACCAGGCTACAAACCAGGTATAAACAGCGGTCAGCTTGGGTTTTGTGAGTGGTGGACGTAGCGGGTACTAAGTGTGAACAGGCAAATATACAACCTGGTAGTATTCCCTATGAATAAGTAATGAACCAGATCAGATAAATACAAGGCAGGAAAAAATCAGGATTTAATTTAGAACTGGTGAGATTCCTGCTATACTTAACTACACAGTCCTACTTGCTTCCTTTTCAACAATTTCCTACTTTAATATATATTAAGCCTATGGTTTTTCCAGTAGTCATGTACAGATGTGAGAGTTGGACTATAAAGAAAGTTGAGCACCAAAGAATTGATGCTTTTGAACCGTGGTGTTGTCTTGAGAGTCCCTTGGACTGCAAGAAGATCAAACCAGTCAACCCTAAAGGAAATCAGTCATGAATATTCATTGGAAGGACTGATGCTGAAGCTGAAGCTCCAGTACTTTGGCCACCTGATGTGAAGAGCTGACTCACTGGAAAAGATCCTGATGCTGGGAAAGATTGATGGCGGGAGGAAAAGGGGACAACAGAGGATGAGATGGTTGGATAGCATCACTGACTCGATAACATGAGCTTGAGCAAACTCTGGGAGTTGGTGATGGACAGGGAAGCCTGGTGTTGGATGACATCACTGTCTCAATGGACATGAAAGTGAAAGTGTTAGTTGCCTAGTTGTGTGAAATTCTTTGTGACCCCATGGACTACAGCCCACCAGGCTCCTCTGTCCTTGGAATTCTCCAGGCAAGAACACTGGCACAGCTCACCATTCCCTGCTCCAGGGGATCTTCCCAATCCAGGATCAAACCCAGGTCTCCTGCATCGGAGGAGGATTCTTTACAATCTGAGCCCCCAGGGAAGCCCACAATGAACATGAGTTTGAGCAAATTCCAGGAAAGAGTGAAGGACAGGGAAGGCAGGTGTGTTGTAGTCCATAGGTGTGTTGTAGTCCATAGCTCAAAGAGCTGAACACGATGGAGTGACTGAACAACAATATTATACGTATATATGTATGCATACACACACACATATATACATATATCTATAAGTATTTTCTCAAATTCTATGTCAATAAATATTATATCACTATCACAAAAGTATCAAATGAAAGTTACCATCCAACTGTGGCAGAAAGAGATATTCTGGGTCATCACAAACACTAACACACACAATATACTGAAGCAAAAACTATCTTGCCCCTGGAAATATAGAGCTACTCAAATATAGAAGCCTGGCATTCACATGATTACTCCTACAATAGGTTCAAATGCTACACAGGCCTCTTCAACATGCAAACCAAAAGAATGGTTCCTGGCACTTTAAAAGCTGACTGATACAAACAGAGTCTGCTGTTTGATGCCTTTATAAAAGAAAACATACAACTGTTTTGAAATATTGTTCCTCAAAAAAATGACTCTGATCACTAACTTGACCCATGGCCACTAACATGTGTGAATGACCTGCTAAAAAATAATACTAAGACTGGCCTTTAACTAGTGACGTTGTCTTGGGCAAGATATCAGACCTCAGATGCATACAAGTAAAATGAGAATGTGGAACTGGACAGGAAAAGGAAATTCTAAATTTATCTTCCAATTTAAAAATATTAAATATACATTTTAATGGACTTAAGAGTTAGTAGATATTGCAAAATCTGTCTTAAAAAATACAAAGAACCCTATTTGCAATCTCAGTTCAGAAGTTATTTTTTCATGCTTGAGTCAGAATCTTTCAGTCTCAACTTTCTTATAAACTAAGAATGTTAATATAATTTATAAAAGTTGCCTTTCAGCTCTACAATTTCATTCATATTATTTTTAATGGATAAGGCTGGAGTAAAAGTATCAAACTCTCACAAATACAACAGTTTTCCCTACTACAACAAAGAGTTAGTATAAAAACTGTCATTTGTTTTTGTTTTTGGTTCACTGGAGAAGTGGAGGGTTCTGGTGGAGAGTTCTGATAAAACGTGGTCCATGGGAGAGGGCAATGGAAAACCATGTCGGTATTCTTGCCTCAAGAACCCCCGGAACAGTATGAAAAGGCAGAAAGACATGACACTGAAAGATGAACTCCCCAGGTCAGTAGGTGCCCAGTATTATTTACTGGGTGAGAGTGGAGAGATACCTACAGAAAGAATGAAGGGACTGAGCCACAGTGGAAATGACATCCACTGTGGTTGTATCTGGTGGTAAAACTAAAGTCTGATGCTGCAACAACAATATTGCATAGGACCTGGAATGTTATGTCCACGAAACAAGGTAAACTGGATGTCGCAAAACAGATGGCAAGAGTGAACACTGATCATTATTACATCAACTACTGTGGAAAATAATCCCTTAGAAGAAATGGAGCAGCCCTCACAGCCAAAAAACAAGTACAAAATGCAGTACTTGGGTGCAATTTCAAAAATGACAGAATGATCTCGGTTTGTTTCCAAGGCAAACCGCTAAATATCACAGTAAATCAAGTTTCTTTCCAACCTCTAATGCTGAAGAAGCTACACTTGAATGATTCTATGATGACCTAAAAACAAAGACCTCCTAGAAGTAACACCAAAAATAAAGTGTCCTTTTCCTCATAGGGGATGGGAATGCAAACGCAGGAAGTCAAGAAACACCTGGAGTAACAGGCAAATTTGGCTGTGGAGTACAGAATGAAGCAGGGCAAAGGCTAAGAGAGTTTTGACAAGAGAACGCACTGGTCATAGCAAACACCCTCTTCCAACAACAGAAAAGATTACTCTACACATGGACATCCCCAGATGGTCAATACCAAAATCAGATTGATTATATTCTTTGCAGTTGAAGATGTAGAAGCTCTATACAGTCAGCAAAAACAAGACCGGGAGCTGACAGTGGCTCAGAGCATGAACTCCTTATAGCCAAATTCAGACTTAAATTGAAGAAAGTAGGGAAAACCACTGGACCATTCAGGTATGACATAAATCAAATCCCTTATGACTATACAGTGGAAGTGACAAATAGATTCAAGGGACTACATCTGTTAGAGAGTGCCTGAAGAACTCTCAGGACGGAGAGTCCTCTATGGACGGAGGTTTGTAGCATTGTACAGGAGGTGATGACCAAAAAAACCATCCTCAAGAAAAAGAAATAGAAGAAGGCAAACAGGTTGTCTAAAGAGGCCTTACAGATGGCTGAGAAAAGAAGAGAAGTGAAAACCAAAGAAGAAAGAAAAAGATATAACCATCTGAATGCAGAGTTCCAGAGAACAGAAAGGACAGGAAAGAAAACCTTCTTAAGTGAAGAATGCAAAGAAATAGAGGGGAACAAAAGAATGGGAAAGACTAGAGATCTCTTTAAGGAAATTGGAGATACTAAGGGAACATTTTATACAAAGATAAGCACAATAAAGGACAAAAATGGCAAGGACCTAAAAGAAGCAGGGGAGATTAAGAAA